TTTCTTCTTTTTTCTGAGTTATTATAAATTTCTCTTCATAACTCGTCTTTCTCCCCCTTATTTTTTTCTATTTCTTTAGTAAGAAACAAACTGCTAGCTTGTCACCAAGGGGCAGTTCGGTACCAATTTTTAGCAAATCACTCTTCTCCTTTTTCCTTTCCTTCTAATTTTTCGGTTACTCCAGGAAGTTGAGCGATCTCTTCCAACTCCTTTTTAATTCTTGAACAACCAATATCTTTTTTTAAGTCATTACTGCAACGAATCTTTTTCACGGTTTCAGGTAAATATTCTAAACCAGAATCTATATTGGTGTTTCCAATAGATAGTCACCTTAGTTTGTTTAGGTTTTGAAGTGGCTGCAAAGAACCACGTCAACGATTATAAATATTCTTTTCAAACTTTTCTTTTGAACAATTATCAATGTACAAACTCCTCACATTTATAAATTTGCTTAAAAATCCCAATCCTTGTTCCTGAAAATCATTACTGTGAATGCTCAACGCTTCAAGTTTTTCGGGATTTAAACCATTCAAAAATCTCGTATCTTCAAGCAAATTATTACTTGCATTAAAATCTTCTATATTAGGACAATTTTCCACTCTGATGTCTTTAATTCGGCAACCGTTGGCATAAAAGTTGGTCAGTTTAGGTAGATTTTTAAGTTCTACACTTTCAAGTTTATCGTTATTACCACAATCTAAATTTCGAACTTCCTCGTAGTTTTCGACGACCAATCTGCCTTCCAGGCCTTCGTTTCTAGCAAATATTTCCTTTGGTTTTTGGTTTTTCGGATAATTTTTATCCAATCATTCCTGTGCTTTTACCATATTTTATTGAATTTTTTTTTTTTTTTAGTTTATTAATAACCTTATTAATTACTTTTAGACGGAACTTCTATACGTGCCTGAATAGAACTTTCCCCTTTTTGTTCCGAAATAGTCTCTTCCTTTATAATCTCTTTAACTTTACCTTTATCTTTCTTTTCTTTCTGTCCACAACAGTCCAGACAATCCCAACACTGAATAGGAGTACACATTCTAGTCTTAAAATCACTTCATCATTTTATAATAATTTTAGAGGAGAGTAGTTCATTATTTTTTTCAACCTTTCCTTCATTAAATTGTCTTAGCAATTTTTTCTTCACCTCTTCGATTATCTTTTCTTTTTTTCTGTTCTTTTCTTCAGCAACTTCCTTTTCTTGGTACAACTTTTTTA